AGAGAAAATAGGACCCAAGGAGGGAACTACGCCCTCTGTGTTCAACAATAGGTCCCGATCCATGGGAACCACGATGGTCCGCGAGGACCCTTCCAACCTGACTTCAAAGCAAGTAAACCCCTCGCTTAATATCCGAACCTCATTAGGATCGAGATTGGAGCCCGTCTCACAACCATCCTCAGCAAGCCCCTTACCTCTTTCACCAGTAGACGAGATGGGAACATCAGCTGGTTGCGAGGAGGATGGCTCATCTCGCCGCATAGTACCTAGAACCTCCGCAGACGGTCCACCAGCTCCAATGTCAGCATCAGGAAGGGGCACATTCTCTATGACTTCTGCTGACGGCAGGACTTCAGACAAAAGACTTGCACTATCTTCAGGCAAGACGGCAACTGGCTTGCAATCATTCCTTGTAGAGTCCATGGCTCAGACAATTCCATCGCCGACATCCACAAACCTCCTTTTACGAGGGATCAAATCCTCCTTACTCGATGATGACTCGTCTATAAAATGAAGTAGGGGAGAGGCCAGAGTCTCTGGTGCTAAAGCCGTTGTTGGTCGAGCCGATCTAGCCAAAACTGGAGGCTAAACAGAAGTGGATAGCTGGGCATGCTTGGCCACAGTCACACTAGGGGCGGACCCCATCGTAGTGTTCCTCTAGGGGAACGCAGGAGCAGGAGCCCTCGGTCTCCTCGAGGATCTTCGGGCTAAAAACAAAAACGGTGAAAGAAAGATCAAAAGGTCGATCCTCACAAAATAATGAAAACTCAAAGCGGACAAACTCACCGTTCACAGAAGGTGCAGGACCGAACATCTTGAGGAAGGCCGGCCATTTACGCATCCCCGCTGTATGAGGGAGGACCCAGCTGACCCAATCATGGATGTCCTTGAACAAAGGAGGGAGTGCAGCCTCAGCTACACGGAAAGAAGATGAGATGTCAATGCAATAGAAATTAGAGATAACGCGTAATACAAAGAGAGAGAAAGGGGGAGAGATATGCTTACGAGCGTAGTTCCAAACCTCGAGGAACCCATCTGCATTGACCACCACGTCCTTAGTCTTGACATAGAAGTAACTGAGCCAAAACTGGTGGTTTGCCTTGTCGTCCATCTTCACCACTAAACACTTGATGCTCTGGTGGCAAAGATGTAGCATCGTCCCCCTATGAAAGCTAGGGGAGAAGAGGTGCATCAGTTGACGGATGGTCACTTCGACCCCAGCTAACTCCGCATATTTCGAGATTATGTAGATGAGTTTGTAGTGTAGGGAGAAAGTTGGGCCATGTAGACTCGGTAATAGCGGCAAAACTCCTTGGCCAAGGGGAGGATATGGAAAGAATAATCCACATGGAAGGGGTACGCGTAGAAAGCACAGTACCCGGGGTGGTGTATTTTTATTACGTCTCGCCCTACGGGAACTAGGTCTACATGAGCGGGAATTTTGAATTTATCCCTAAACTCAGCAAGGGCTACCTCTTTCATCAACGACTCCAAAATCTCAGGGTCGTCCTCAGGCATCTTTGAGAAGTCAAATCTAGCCTTCTCACTACAAAAAATTATTTCCTCCACCGTAAGGAAGCTATCATCCTCAGCAACAGTGGCAACCCCATCGTCATAGGGAGGCATGCGCACTGCCAAGGAAACAGGGTCAGGTACCCCCCAGAATTTGAAGACACATTAACCACTTTGTTTATAAGTAAAGAAGGTGTAAACACAGAATAATCAAGAGTAGGAAGAGCCACCAGAGTCGGTGATAGCAAAACACGAAAGTGAAATCAAAATGGCAAGGATTCTGAGTGAAGAAGGAAGAAGAAGGTATGGAAATCCAATGTTTAGGTTGCAAAGAATAAGGCAAAGGATTTTGTATCCCTATTTATAAGAGTTCAGGCATCAATATCGAGAAAGCAAACCGTCATTTCCTAGCTCAGGAACCAAAATGGCAGAGGCACAGGAAACAGCGCAAGGTATTGGGAAAACGCATAATAATGACGCATAATGACTGTCATGCCCCCTTTTTTCCCATCTTCGCGGAGGGAGGCCCGGGTTTCGACATTCATGGGGGTGCAATGACTCATTTCCTTTTAGGAATTGGGTATTTGAAGAGTCGCCACCTAACGGATTATGGTGCGTTAGGGTACCTAGAGCAATTAACTCTTGGGTTGGTTTGCATTACCAGATATTAGGGTAAGGGCTCGAAATAACCTCGAGGGGAAGGTGTTAGGCACCCCTCTTGGTCCATAACTGTGGGTCCCATCCGAACTTATATTTACAAATTAGTTCATATAAACAATTAAGTTGTAAAGCTCATTGAACAAGTCAAGTAATGAAATAAAGGTTTGAACAAATTATACAAACAAAGTTTTAAATAAGGAGAGGATTTGGGGTAAGAAGGGGTCCTAGGTTGTTTAGCCTATAGGATCACCCCATGCAATGTCCGGTAAACACTCCTCAATGAGGGGCTACACGTGACATTAACGCGTAGTCATCATATCCCATGTATACCCTTCCCATCCCCTTATTGGTCATGCAAAGCGAGTGTTTGGTCATTGATTCTTATTGCGTGTTGCTACCCGTCCCATCTTAATAGTCCCGAAGGGAGTTGGGACCCTTACCTATAGGTCGTTCTAGACGTACCCCTAAGGTTTTAAAGGCAAAACTCTAAAGGCGACAGTCAAAAAGTATCTAGGAGTTTCACATAATGAGAGCAAGTAAAAGGCTCATAGTTTCCTCCGCAAACAAGCATGCATGCAGCACGACTCAACCACAAGTAAGGTCTTTAGTAATCAAAGTCCTAAAGCAGGATTTCTAAGTGATTATGCAGAAATAAACCACTTTCAAATACAGAAGTCATAACATTATTAGCTGCCTAGGACCTCCTCTTTAAAAGTTTATTAGAATTCAGAGACGTCAAGTGACAGCTTCAGAGAAATGCAAGTTTTGAAAATGCCCTAAGGCTTGCCTATATGTAGAACTGTGTCTATGTTAATGCATAAATAGACAAGCTTTTGAAATAGAACCTTTCAATACCTATAGTCAGAATATCTAACGGGATTAAAGAAATTATGAAAGGACCGATTTTAGAGAGTTATCGCTTGACAAGGCCAGTTTTAAGAAGTAAACTAGGTGAGATAAAATTGACTCATTAGGCTAATTAGATTATCAGACATAATTGCGAGTAGAAGTCCCTATAGGCATGGTATCTAGGCGTGTTACTGGTTTTAGGCAATTTTCAGTAACTTATTAAATCGGAATTATGTCTTATAGGCATGGTATCTATACTTGAATTGATTTAAAACATGATAGCTTGGAACCTGGAAACATGGTTTCTAATATGACAAATGCAGGATTTATGAACATGGTTTATATCTGATACAAATGACATTAAAAGTGAAAACCTATAGACATGATGTCTATTATGCAAAATGAAATTAGATTCAACAAGAATCATACCCTATAAACATCTTTTCTATTGAGTAAAGCAAGCATATTTGAAAGTAAAATCGTAAGAGCAGGATTTCTACCCATATTACCCCACAAAGTATACATCTACCCACCCCTTTTACTAAATTACCCCGAATATCTGTTTACAAAATATTGCATGCCAACAAAAAGAATTACATAAATGAAATAGAAAACTAAGAAGCTATTCTATAGGGAGCCTGCAATCAGGCCCAAGTTTTCCAAAGCCTCCAATGGTCTTTCAAACCTCATTTTCACAGACAAATCAGGGTCTAGGTGCATTAAAGTTCCCTAAGGGTCTCAAGGACCCCGGACAATGCTTACATCTAGACTTACTAGCCAAGAATTGAACCAGTGTAGTGTGAAAAGCCAGCCTCAGTATGCCAGAGTTCCAAGGGTTCTCAAGAGGATCCCAATGCAGTACACATACTAGAGGGAGCAGAACTTATTAACTAAGAGTAGAGTGAAAGTGCAGGACACATGTTTGAAAGAAGTTTATTAAAGACTGGACTTAAAGGTCTATTTTGAAAGCAATTAGTAAAGAAATAGAGGTTGTTTGAAAGAGGTTGGAGTAGTAAATAGAGTTCAAATACTTCAGGATAAGACCACACACAGCAAGTTCACAGAATCTAAATGTATTTAGTAATCACACAGGGGTTAAGGGGTTTGGGGATACACAGACATTGCCTGCAGACACATGACCCCAGCAGGAGTATTAGGACTGGTATGGACATGCTCAGAGATAGCTTGACACTGGCATAATCACAAACCAGTCATGAGGAACATAAACATTTAGAGGGGAATAGGGATTTGGGATTCACAACATGGTAAGTGCACAGTAGGTAAAGGAAAATAATTGTCCAGACATGCTTGAATCACACAAGGGAATACATGAGCTTAAAGGGAGGGGAGTTATACTAGCATGTTTAACTACAAACTCCACAACAAAACCATAAGTAAATGCAGACAAGAAATAAAAGAAACTGAAATAAGAAAAAAAACATGTTGTTGTTGTGGCTGTAAATTAAACTAGGACATACCAGTGAAGATAGAAGTAAGTAGAATGAAAGAACCAAAGAGCACAGATGATTAGCCTTGGCTTGCAGCCGGCTAATAGAATAACATAGAGATTTTAAATAAGAGATGGGTGTTTTTGGAAGCCAAGTGTGTGTCGTTTGTGAAAGGCTTAGGGTATTTATAGTTGAAAGTAGGTAGTGGAATAAGGTAAAAAAATATAGTAGTATACTAATTTAAGAACTCAGAATCAATCACTTAGAGAATCAAGGAAGCACTTCCTTGAGTTAGGGGAATCAAGGTCAAACAGAAAGATTTAGTACCATATAAGGGGGAAAGGAGGAATCAGTGCATAATTAAACAAGGAAAGGAGCCAGAGTCCATTAGGCATAAAGTAGTCGATTAGGACCAAATTTAGAAAAACCCAATTAAGGAAAGACTAAGTAAAACCCAGTATCATAGTAAATAAGGTAATAAAATCAGTGAATTCAAACAGACGAGTAGAATTCTAGGGNTTGATAATTTTATTGTTAAAAGCTCACTTGAGGTAGGCTTAAACCCTGAAGCTAAGTGCAGCTTCAGTGCTCTCATTATCAGGGCTCCCTTTAGTAGGGTCAGACTAAACAATGGATATAGCGGGCAAACTGATTTAGTCATTACTAAGAAAATGTTATGAATGATTATGTGAGAGATGAAGAGTAACTAATTAAGAATATAGCATATGAAAATCAGTCACTAAACATAAAATTATTAAACATTAAGTTTGCTTGTTTTGTATCTCAATTGGAAATTTAAAATCGAAAACAGATTTCGAACCTGATTGTTGTAGCTATTTTAAAAATCTTTTGTTGATGTAATTGTTTTTTGTTTTTTGTAGTTACCTTTTCATGAATTACCTTTTTTCCACTTAGGCTTTATTCACTAAAACCCACACTTCAATTGCGCTTTGCGCTTAGAGCCTTAGCAAACATTGTCTTTTTTTTTTCAACTCTTGTTGCCTTTGATAATATTCCCATTTTATCAGGGCTCCCTTTAGTAGGGTCAGACTAAACAATGGATATAGCGGGCAAACTGATTTAGTCATTACTAAGAAAATGTTATGAATGATTATGTGAGAGATGAAGAGTAACTAATTAAGAATATAGCATATGAAAATCAGTCACTAAACATAAAATTATTAAACATTAAGTTTGCTTGTTTTGTATCTCAATTGGAAATTTAAAATCGAAAACAGATTTCGAACCTGATTGTTGTAGCTATTTTAAAAATCTTTTGTTGATGTAATTGTTTTTTGTTTTTTGTAGTTACCTTTTCATGAATTACCTTTTTTCCACTTAGGCTTTATTCACTAAAACCCACACTTCAATTGCGCTTTGCGCTTAGAGCCTTAGCAAACATTGTCTTTTTTTTTTCAACTCTTGTTGCCTTTGATAATATTCCCATTTTATCAGGGCTCCCTTTAGTAGGGTCAGACTAAACAATGGATATAGCGGGCAAACTGATTTAGTCATTACTAAGAAAATGTTATGAATGATTATGTGAGAGATGAAGAGTAACTAATTAAGAATATAGCATATGAAAATCAGTCACTAAACATAAAATTATTAAACATTAAGTTTGCTTGTTTTGTATCTCAATTGGAAATTTAAAATCGAAAACAGATTTCGAACCTGATTGTTGTAGCTATTTTAAAAATCTTTTGTTGATGTAATTGTTTTTTGTTTTTTGTAGTTACCTTTTCATGAATTACCTTTTTTCCACTTAGGCTTTATTCACTAAAACCCACACTTCAATTGCGCTTTGCGCTTAGAGCCTTAGCAAACATTGTCTTTTTTTTTTCAACTCTTGTTGCCTTTGATAATATTCCCATTTTATCAGGGCTCCCTTTAGTAGGGTCAGACTAAACAATGGATATAGCGGGCAAACTGATATAGTCATTACTAAGAAAATGTTATGAATGATTATGTGAGAGATGAAGAGTAACTAATTAAGAATATAGCATATGAAAATCAGTCACTAAACATAAAATTATTAAACATTAAGTTTGCTTGTTTTGTATCTCAATTGGAAATTTAAAATCGAAAACAGATTTCGAACCTGATTGTTGTAGCTATTTTAAAAATCTTTTGTTGATGTAATTGTTTTTTGTTTTTTGTAGTTACCTTTTCATGAATTACCTTTTTTCCACTTAGGCTTTATTCACTAAAACCCACACTTCAATTGCGCTTTGCGCTTAGAGCCTTAGCAAACATTGTCTTCTTTTTTTTCAACTCTTGTTGCCTTTGATAATATTCCCATTTTAGCGTTATGGTCAAGGAAGCACATCTTAATCTTCTATTTGAAACTTTCGTCATGCTATTGTGTCCTTGGCATCATAAACGTGATATCTCAATAGGGTAATAGCACAACGTCAGCTTAAACTGATCTTTCTATCAATTTACTAGTGTTTTTTTCAGTTTCACATCTGAAGTACTTCAAAATACAGAAATAAATGGAAGCTACCTACCAAACTAACTCCTACAGAATGACATACATTAGTTAAGCAGAAAAGATATCTTACCTCTGTATAAGCATAAACTCCGGCCTCCATAGATCCCAAGGGACTTCCCCTCCTGATGAACTGATTCCCTTTGTATATGTAAAGCATTGGTACTCCAGTTGAGAGTTCTAAGTGGATGACCTGTTACCAAGGAGCTATTCAAACCCAACTAACATGCATAAAAAATGCATGGTACTAATGAGAAAAAAGGCAATACTCATTACCTCCTCAGCAGTCAATTTATCAAGATACATTAGGATGGACCTCAATGAATTTGCATGAGCTACTACCATCACATTCTTTCCACCGGAAAGTTGGGGTTCAACCTGCCATTAAATGTTCAATTATGAGAGGTCATGATTTCAAGCCCTGCATCAGTAGAAACTAGTCTCCTCTTTATGCGTTTATGCTTTTTATAAATCACAGCAGCTTTTACTTGCTCTTTGAAATAGGTAACAGCTCTTCGCAGGCACATTTCCAAGCTCTCACCGTTGGGTGGCTGAGCATCATAGCTTCGGCGCCATTTATAGACTTGCTCTTTCCCGCATCTTTCAGCTGTTTCCTGCTTATTATATCCTTGAAGTTCCCCGTACCTGTAAAATAACATCTTTTTGAAGCGAGGACGACATCATACTGGAATAAAAACAAAATGAGAGCTGTGAAAGTACATTCTTTCATTCAGTTGCCATGCTTTAATAACAGGAACAGATTGCATCTCGGTGCCTTCACTATAAATTTGACTCCATAATTTGGCTTGTTCAGTCTCATTGTGTATAATAATGGGCACCTGGAATTCAAGTAGGATTAAGTTCTATATACTGTGGCCTTTTCTTGGATAATTTTAATATCTTTCTGCGCATTATACGGGTGATATAAGAACAAAGAGCACGTAATCTTTGGCAAACCAGCATTTCAGTAGCATGGAGACAATTTACACTACAACCAGGAGGGAGTCTCATTTCTTGAAACTCTGTATCATTCCAATTTTATCGGATGTCCCAAAGGGACCTCATTTCTTGAATCTCCTGGAAAGATTTAACTAAATATTGCAATAAAGACACTTTTTATTTATTTATTTATTTATTTCCTGAAGTGTTTATTTTAGAAGGTAAATCTTGTTTTACCGCCATCCATGTAGCTTGCAACACGAGAAAGAAACCGAGAAGGAAACATTAAGCCATGCATAACTAAGAAAAAGACTTTTCAGTAAAGGATCACAATATCCAGGAAGTAGGAAGAACATTTCCCAGAACCAGCCAATAGATTTAATTATTTGTTACAAAGCTTAACATATTTTTATTTCACATTGCTAATTCAAGCTGTGTCCTCATGGATTCTGATTTCTGAATCAGAAATATTGACATAAACCAGGTTAAATGATTGAAAACAATAAGCAAAATAAATGTAACAATTGATAAGGGGAACTTCCTCCAAAATCGCTCACCATGAAAAGGATCAGTTTTGGCGTACATATAATAGATCCTAAGGGGACTTGACATAGCATAAGAACAGACACCATGATGGCAGCTGTAATGGTCCAACCGTATGGGAAGTTTCAAACTATAGACTAAATTCAAGAATTTTTTTTAGCTCTATCCTAAGTTATAACAAAGCATTGCAATAGTTAACAGGACTATACTTAAAAAAAAAAGAACAAGTTATTTCGAAGACCAAAAAGCAGAAGTACCTTCTTGCAGTGGTGCTCTGTTAAAGCAAGCATGGCAGTCATCTGAGAACGAATCAATGCAGAGATGTAGACAACATCAATGGGTAGGTGTCTGATTCTCTTACCGGCTTCAATTGCTTCTTCTACTCCTTTATTGGTTAGTGGCACATCTACACAACCAGTGAACAGGTTCTTCTCATTCCACATCGATTCTCCATGCCGTATTAAGATTAAGTATGATTCAGCTGCAGAGAATAAAGCCTTAAATAGGACAACAAGATCACGAAGATACCACACAACAGTTAATGAGTACACTCACTTTTTGATAGATGATAACAAGAACTATTGGAGAGGAATGTACTCACGTGCTGATCTCCGTGAATCTTTGGTACTTGACAAGGAGGAGAAAATTGGCTTAATAGCACATAAAGATGAATTTGGTGAATGCCCTATGCATTTTACAGAGTGCCCCAAATTGCAACTTCCTTTTCTTAAAACTGGTTTCATTTTAAGACCCCCATATGAAGATGTAACCAAGAAGTTCCTAAAGCCCTCATTAGAAGCACAAGTGTTGCAACTTATGAAGTGTATTGCTTGGTGATAACCACCAGAAGCAACCATATTGACTTTGCAGTTATCCCAACTAAGCATCACAAAAGGAAAATGAATAGACATCAGTGTCCAGCTAATTTCAAAACAAAAGCAAGTAACTGCATTTCATACATACTCAGATGAGCTAATGGACAATTTTAGAAATAATGATAAGTTTATGATCAACTAGTAAAAATAATTTCACGGATAGTTGTGTTATCATACATCCTATCAAGTTGATCATACATGTTCATAGTCATGTAACTAAGAACATGAAGAAAAATCTTCCAAATCGAGAATGTGGTCACAAACATAAACAGAACTTTAAACAGATGCATTTAAATAGCTCAAATACATAAAAGAGAATTGTTTTTTAATTTTGAAAAATAAAATCTTGATTACGCATGTGAGTTAACAAAAAGATGATCATACCTTTTTGTGATCAAACTGGACCTTCAAGAACTGTTTAAAGCACTTTGGAATCAAAAGAACGGAAATACAAAGAAGATCATACATGTGAACGCGGAGATCTCAAAGACCGGCTGTCGGAGGTCGCTGTCATTCTGTAACAGTTAATTGCGACGCCGTTTCATGCTCGTCACAGTAAGTTGCTCGTGTTCAACTTGGGCTTGCTTCATTCGGGCCTTTGTCCATGGGCCGTCTGCATGATTTTGTTAAGATTTGGAATTTTTACCACCTTATTTATTTCAAATAAATATCATTTACCTTTTTGATTACCTCCTACCCCTAAGCCACTAAATACGCAATTCAATTACACTATTTTCTCTCTCTTTATTTGATAAGCTATTCAATAATGAAAGCACTAAGTTTCCTCTTTATCAATTCGCCATCTTCAACTGCACCAATCCGAACCACCGAATTCACCATCGCCGAACGCCGAATAATCTTCAAATTCAAGTGCTGATGACTCTTCTTCGTCGTCGTCGTTTTGATATGGGCATATTTGGTCTGATTTGAATTCTTGTGAAGGCTACAACGGAATGAACCTGGATGATTTGTCGGCGCACACATGCAATGTTTTTCTTTTGATGATGATTTTGTTGGCCGCTATTCTGCTGTGGTTCACGGCGGTGAACGAGACGACGGATTCGCTGAAAATTAGGGTTGTTCTTGAACAAAAGACGACGGAGTTTGGGGCTGAGCAACTTGATTTTCTGTTAATATATTTCAATGTATTTTTATATATTTCATTGTATTCATTGTCTTTTTTTTTTCATTGTAATTCAATGTATCTCGTTGTATTCCATGTATTTCATTGTATTTACTGTTTTTTTAAGTTGTATTTCAATATATCCCGTTGTATTCTATGTATATCATTGTATTCACTGTCTCACTATATGCCATGAATATATTTGTATGTTTTTTTAATTAATATAATTTATGTATTCAGATGTATTATATAGTTTCTCTGAAGATCGCTATGTTTTTGGGGTATTTTTCGGTTGAGAATCTTTTTTATAACTGTAAATATAAAATTTGTGTGTTATAATTGAGTTCGTTGAGTTATATTATGAGTCTATTATGTTAATTGATTCACTTTCCGTTTAAAAACATTGTAATCCCCTATTTCACGCCGTGAATACAATCGAATATAATAATATCCAACTGTAATCTCATGTTTCACGCCATGAATACAGTCGAATACACTCGAATACAATAACTGATTAGCTGGACTTCTCTGATTCACGCCTATTTTTGCTATTGTATTCATGAATACAGTAGCTTAAATACATCTACTACATCTTATAACAACAGAAAACGTATTTACAATCCGTAATATAGCAAATAGTATCTATAAATAGCTAATTACCACTAAAAGATGGTGCTTTGAAAATTTTTCTTAAGATTTACAGCCACCTTCGTTGTTTTATTTAGGGTCATATTCCCAAAAGGTTTGGAGTTAGTATATAATCTATGAATACTGGTTAAGAAAGTATAAATCACACCGAGTAGTTATTCTAAAGGGCTGCTATTCAGGAATTAACCAGTGCGTCCTGAATTTCAGTTTTTCAGTTTAATTTTTCAGGACAAAAATATCCCGAGTTGTTTTGAAGTTAAGATTTATAGTTTAAAATTTCAGGACAAAATAACTACTGGCTAATCTCTAAATAGCATTATTGAGAATGACTACATGTGCACTTTCCCGCTAAGAAAAGTATTTATATAAAGATCCCTTATGATAATTCCCTAATCTTTCTTCCATTAAGTATTTCTACTTACTAATCCTAGCATAGTCCCAATGGTGTCGTCATTTTGTTACATTTTAATGTTAGCAACATGTTTTGCTTCTTGGCAAAATATTACTTGTTGATTAAATTTATAGCATCTTTTACTAAATTAATACTTGTGTAAAATTATTGGAGGAATCTGATAGAAAAAAAAAATCTGCCTGAATCGGATGAATAGACTTGAGTATCTGACTGCCGTGAACCTCCATTTCATGAGTTATTTATCAACATTGTTAGGAAGTGAAAATTATAGACCAAAACTCCTGGTGCCAAAGCAGCGTACCATCTTCCAATAAAAACTTACCCGCATCCTATGTTTACACTTGATCATCTTAATTTACTATGGTCAAATAATAAAAACTTACCCGCATTCTATGTTTACACTTGATCATCTTAATTTACTATGGTCAAATCATAAATTACAGTAAGAATATGTATTAATTAACTATGGTAAAATGATAGAGCGTAGATGAAGATATGTGTCATGTATACATTTAATTGGTATAAACTTCAGACGCCATATTAATTGTACTCTAGTAAGGCGAAAGCTATTAGGACAATAAGAAAGATATATATGCCCCTCTTAATAAATGTACTGTGTATCCGAGGAGTTTCAAGACCAAGACAAGTTGTTTAATGTAACTCAAACTCTTCACCTCAGCTCAAAATGGTTGCAAAATTTAGTCGTGGTAGAGAGTTCAGCTCTATTTTTCCCTTTTTCCTTTCTACTTTGCTTCTTTGCAATTTATCCTTGATACCAATATGAATTCCACAAGTAATATCATGTAATTTATGGAACCAGATATTATTATGCCCTTTAGGGTTCTTACAAGGTAATATGTTAGTAAGGCACAAACAGGTAAAAACTTAGCAGTTTAATAATAAGAGTGTGTAGAAACATTGTATTGTACATTCATAGGATTAGTATATATGCAGATAAGTTTTAACTCACAATCACTCCCACCCCCTAGAATGACACCAATCAAGGCTTTTCCCACTATAGGCACTTCAACAGAAGGATGTGAATGGAAATGACCTGTGGGGCAAAGATTTCGCTGGAATAAACAATTATTGTAGAGATCAGAAGCAACAATTTTAAAGAGCCATTAAAATTTAACTCAAAGACTAAAAAACAACATAACACTTGGAAGTTGAACGTCCAGAGATACAATAACAAAGATAAAAGTATGAAGTTTGATGCCTAAAGCATCATCAGCAACATCATAATAAGAATAAATATAAGCCCTAAACAATAAACATCAAACAAAGATTCATAGTAACAAGTCATTTGTTCCTTCAGTATTGGTCCTCAGTCAACTGGTATTGCTGGAGGATCCGAGTGCAGGCGGAAAGAGGCTCATCGGAGAGGAAACCCATGTTGTTGGCGTAACGGACATCAGAGATCATGCCATTGTTGCGGGTGAGGATGACACGGGCACGGTCACGACCACCATTGGGTTTGCCACATCTTTTATCAGAGCTCTCGACGAGCACAACATCGCAGACATCGTCTCCACAGTCACGGTCGACCAAGATGTTGTATTCACCTTGTGAGTTTGTCACACCGCCAATTGTGTATGTGATTTCGTTGGTCACCCTGTTTCTGCACTCAATTTTAACCTTGGATCCTGTCCAACATAGGCACAATTTATCAAACTATAATTCGAATGTCGATTCCATAGCTTATAAAAAAATCATTTTCTTGAGCATTTGGAATAAAAGTGTGATAAGAATCTGAACATCCAATCTAAAATCTTAAGACAAGCGGTGGAGTAGCTAAGGGCCATTTAGACTCTTTCCGAAACTCTTGAGTTAACCTACGAGGAATAGTGTAGCAATATCTAAACTTATTGATTAGGAACATCAACACGTTAAGTTCCCAACCAGGCAAATAAACAACAACAATGTACCAAGTGTGGGGTTTGGGTAACATAGTGTATACATAGACCTTAACCTTATCCTAAGGTTGTGAAAGTAGAGAGGTGGTTTCTAATAGAAAAAACTCGGCTCAAATTAGGCAACTAAGCACATACTACATTTTGCGCAGGCATAGGCAATTGAAATAGCTACAAAATAAGCTAATGTAGCAAGAAATTAACATTTCTTCAAACATTAACTCAAGAAATATTTAACTAGAACAAGATTAACAGCACAAGGACATGAACTTTGAGCTGTTTCTTAGCAAACAAATACTCCCTCCCTTCCAATTTATGTATATTTTGCATAAAAAGGTAAATTATTTCTAAATATAGAAAGGGGTTGGCCCACAATAAATTGAAAAGGAGGGAATATAATATCAACTAGTAGTAGATCTATATGCTAGATCTGCAAATGGGAAGTCAAGAAATCACAGAAACTTGAACAGATGTTGAAAGTGGGAATAATCAAAGCAAAGAACAGGGAAAATGCAGAAGGATAAAGAAAAGTGAGGATTGATTGTTTACCAGCAAGGTACTTGGTAGCTTCAGTCTCAAAGCCACAGCGGCAAGTGTCACAATAACATTTACCCTTAACAAGGAAAGGGGAAGTGGCAGCTGCCAAAGAAGCAAAGAGTAAACAAAGAGCAACGAATGCAACCAATCTTGCCATTTCTGGAACACCTAAGGAATTTCTCTAACTTTGTTTCCTTGTTGTTCAAGTTGTAATGAGAAAAAATTTAGGGAAAAGAGAGGAAAGTGGGAAGTGAATATAATGGAGAAAGGCGTCGGTGGATGGGCTGGCAAACACAAGTAAAGTCACATGGGGGCATGAGCATCAACTGAATTTGAACAATAAAGAAAAGCTACAAAACAAAAGCGCGTCTTACGCCAATCTTCTCTACTGCCATTGCTATTTAATTCAATGCTTTCATTAATTTCGGTCCGTGGGTTCCACCTGCCCCCTTCTCCTTACGCGGAGATCTGTGTTCAATTTTTGAGTTGCTTTTACTCTTCTATTACTTCTAGTGCTATTTCCATGAAAAACATTTTCATTTTTTTTTTTTGAAAAATTCACTTTTTCATGAAATCAGTATTTGGCTATTAAATTTTTAATTTTCACTTGAAGATAAATTTTAAAAAATTTCAAAAATTTGAAAAATTTCAAAAAGTTATGTTTCAAAATTTTCACTCATATCACTCACAAAAATTCAAAAACAACCCAAAATTATATTCATGTACTAACACAACTCTAATTTTCAAATACTATTTTCATTTAAGAAAAAAATTCTTTTATTTCGAAATTTTACAATTCTTATATCCAAACGCCCACTAAATTTACTTAACTACTGGTGAGTTTTTTTGGGTTTCTCAAACGGTGTCCGATATCCGTATTTGGGCTCGACTAAATAAGGATTCGCGTCGGGGAGTCCCCATTGGAAGGTAAAGCGCTCTCTATCAAAGGTGACTTCATACCCAGGGTTTGAACCCGAAATGTTTGGTTATGGATGAATGAGTATTTATCACTCCACCACAACCTTATTGGTTTACCGGCGAGTTAAAATAGTGTTAGCTGCTTATTGATAATTATTAGTAGTACTACTTCTTTGAAGAGATCTATTCATTTTTTTACCGTACATCTTATCCTTCTCGGACCTTACTTATAAAATTCTTACCGAATTTTTATTGTTCTTGTTGGTGTAAAGTAGAGTTGATGCAAATAGATTTCATTAAGAAACTTTATTTAAAATAGCATAATTGTAATTTAGAACTATATTTTTTGCTAATAGTGAAAAATGTAAAATAGAATGCAAAACCAAAATGAGCGACCATTTTCATTTAGTAGTCTTTCAAATTATTGACAAGATAAATAAGAGTTAAAGTTTATATTGGTTATAAATATACTTGCATGGTTAATATATTCTGCATTATTCAATTTACTTTCCAAGAAGTTGGGTGTAGATTTGAAGAAGTATTCCGCAACAGCCCCTCCCCCACCCCAATTGAAAACCAACAAAGCA